ACATATTTTATATAGGGATTACATAATATTAAAAAGTGGTGTTACTTGTTTGTTTTCCTGTGGTTACTTTTTTATTTATTTGAAGTTACTTGGTAGTTTATTTGTGGTTACTTCTTGTTATATGCTGGAGTTATATATTTTTTTCCTTAGTTTTTTCATTTTTTTTTCTAGGATGTTGAGGAGAATTATCTATTGATGAATAGAGACATGAAACTTCTAACATATCAATTTGAGAAGTATGTGAATTTCATAAAGAATCAATCTGAAGCTGTGAAATTGGATTCAAAACTTCCAGAAAAAGAACGGTCTCCTGTGTTGTCACAGTTGGATCCAATATTCAATGATTCAAAGTTTTGGAATCAAATTGATAGGATCACTGAACATGCACTTGCAATGAAGAAATTGCAAGAAGAAATGCCTTCATTTGAGCTTTTTTCTTACACAAATCCTGATTTGGAAACACCTATATCACCATTGTGTGTTAGTAAGGAAATTTTCACTGAACTTGTTTCTCAAAAAGTACCTAATATGAGTGAAGGTTTGGGTGTTGTTGATCCTGATTTAGTTGTTCGGGAAGTGTTGAATTCAACTAATCAACAAAAGAATGATGATAATGTTTATGAGGTTATTGAAATTGAAAATGAACATGACAATGTTGCTGGTGGTCCTACTGTTTCATTTACTGCTCCTGCATCTTCCTTGGCACAAGCTCCCGCTATTGGTAAGCCTTCTTTTGCATCTGGTGGTGATGTTCTTGAAATTGCACCCGGTGTTTTTCAGCCTTCCTTGGCACCTACTGTTTCTCAGCCTTCCTTGGCACCTACTGTTTATCTGCCTTTCTTGGCACCTGTACCTTCGGTTTCTGCCGGTGGTGTTCGTGAGGTTGCACCTACTGTTTCGCTGCCTTCCTCAGCACCTTTCTTGGCACCTGTACGTTCGGTTTCTGCCGGTGGTGTTCGTGAGGTTGCACCTACTGTTTCGCTGCCTTCCTCAGCACCTGCTTCTGCGCCTGTAGGTGTTGTTTCAAAGGATAAACCTGAAAACCAAGAAGTAATTTCTTCTGGCAAACCAAAGGGGAGGTTGAGGAAAGCTCCTACTCAGAAGGAACCTACAACCAAAGCTCCTGAGGAAGGTGCTAGGAAGAAGGCAAGAAAACCAAGGAAGGAAGTGATTACTGCTAGTATTGCTGATCACACACCAGAGGAATCATTAGAGATATTGAAACAGATTCATGCTGGTGATGATGGTGAGGAGTCTTCTGATAATAGTGGATCTTCTAGTAGTTCTGCAGAGCATTTAATTTGTAATATTTACTCTGGTACTGCTGGTGGTTATAAATTACAGTTATTATCAAGGTTTTTAAGGGTTAAGAACCCAAAAGTTAAGAAGATGAAGAGTATTAGACTTGATGTTGCTGATTATTGTTTTGCTGAAAACTACGATGGTGTTGACAATATGTAAGTGCTTTGCTTTTTGATTTATTATTTATTATAAGTTACTAATAAGAGTTATATGTTTTACTTATTAAAGTTTATATGGTTTACTTATAATTATTTTTAGGATTACTTATACAGCTTATTTTTGTTATTCATTAAAGTTTAAGCTGTTACTTTATAAGGCTTATACAGATTACTTATAAGAATAATAAGGATTACTTATAATTGTTATAGGTGTTACTTATTAAGTTTTATATGTGTTACTTAATATAAAAATACCAGTTACTTAATTGTTGTTAAGGGATTACTCAAAGATATTCAATGTATTACTTAATACCAATTAGTTTATGGTTTACTTTATGTTATTATAGAAATTACTTAATAGTATAATAGGGGTTACTTATAAGAGTTTATTGTTTACTTATAAAGTTTAAAGGAATTACTTATAAAAATTAAGGGATTACTTATAAAGTTTAAAGGGGATACTTATAAAGTTTAAAGTTGATATTTATTAGTTAGAGTTTAAGGGTTTACTTATAAAGTTTAAAGGGATTACTTACAAAGTTAAAAGTGGTTACTTATTAACTTAAAAGTGGTTACTTCTTAATTAGATTTTTAAAGGTTTACTTAAAAAGTTTAAAGAGAATTTTTTATAAAGTTTAGGGGATTACTTATTTAATTTAAAGGGGATATTTATAAACTTTAAAGTTGTTACTTATTAGTTTGAGAAGGGTTACTTAATAAATGATCTAGGTGTTACTCTTAAGTTTAATACAGATACTTATTAGTGTTATAGGTTGTTACTTTTTAAGTATTATAAACATTACTTATAAGTGTTATAGGTGTTACTTATTAAGTTTTATCTGTTACTTAATATAAAAATACCAGTTACTTCATTGTTGTTAAGTGATTACTTAAAGATATTCAATGCATTACTTAATACCAGTTATTTTATGGATTACTTATTCATACTATAGTGATTACTCATGTAAGCCTATTTGTTACTAATTCTATTTTTTTGAAACAGGAAAACTTTAGTTTTTTTTTTCTGAATTTTATAATCTGCCTCGTGAAGAACTGATGGCATTGGTTGGTGAAGAGTTTATTTCAAGCCGTGTTATGGACTGTTTTTTTATTTTGCTGAATTACTTGGAGGTGCAAAGAAATGATGATGGTATCAAGGTTTATTTTGGTGGAGAATATTTGGTAATTGACTTATGATCTCTGTTATTTTATGTTATTTAATATTTGTTTTTCTTATTTCAATTGTTTTATTTTGTTAGTATCCTTTATTGCGTTTTATATATACTGGAGAAGGAAGCGCTGATGAATTAGAATTTTTTGGGGCTTGGGATCATTGGCTTCAATCTGTTCAAACAATGGAGTTTCTAGATGCTTTGCTGGTAATTATCATTGGCTTGATAAATTTACTTTATGTAGATTTTCTATGAAATTTTTAATAGTTATGGAAATTGATTTTGTATATATATATATTTTTTTTATACAGATTTTCATTCCAATTTACTATGGGAATCACTATTCTGTTGTTGTGATAAATTTTTATACCAACACTGTTGATTATTTGGACAACAGAAGGTATTATATTGGTGTTGGAAGGAATTGCACTAAGACTTTTGATGCTCATCATACATATTATTATACAATCACTTGGCACTTGGTATGTATTTTTATTTAGTATTTAGTTAAATTTAATGTGTACTTTTATTTTGTTGTTCTGATATTTTTTTCAATAATTCACAGAGACTTCTATTGTCAAAATACCTGGTTAGGAAGAACCATGATCAAGGTCAGCAAGTCGCTGAATTTGAAATTTGAATGCTACAACTTGATTCTCAAGCTTGTCCAAAGAATACAGATTGTGGGGTTTTCTGTCTATATCATTGTATATCATATGAAGGTGAAGATTTTTATTGTAAAAACTTAACAAAGGTAATTTTTTATGATCCTAGTTTTTTGTTTACTTATATTTTTATTTATAACTAATTTATGACTTTGATTTGTTTTGTATTTTTAGGCACTTGAACGACGTCGATATCGTGCTGAAATATGTGCTTCACTGGTTTTGTGCAGCTTGAACCAATTAAGGGATGAGATTCTTAATAAGGTTCAGAATTTTGCTGATAATAACAAGGAATTATATGAAGAAGTTATGATTAATGATGAGATTGATCGTCAAGAAAAAGCTTCTATTGCAGAAAAAGAAGCTAAGAAAAGTGCAGAATTGAAGGCAAAAGAAGAGTCATTTAAAGAGGGTGAACAAAAGAACCAAAACAAGTACCAAGCTTCTAAAAAAGCTACCACTAGCAGAAAGTAAGAATTAGTTTTACATTATGTCAATATTGCTAGATTGAACATAGTTTATGTTTTTTTTTATTTAAGAACAAAGATTCTATATGGTAATTTGAACAAAGTTTTTGTTTTTTTTTTATATATAGTAGATTATTTTCTTTTTATAATTTTTGAGTCATATTGTTAACAAATAATAGGTGTTACTGATTTAGCATTACAATTATTACTTATTTATATTATATTGGTTGATTATGTAAGTCTATTTGTTACTTGTTCTATTTTTTATGTATTAAGCGTTATAGGGGTTACTTATAAGAGTTTATTGTTTACTTATAAAATTTAAAGGAATTACTTATAAAGTTTAAGAGGTTACTTGTAAAGTTTAAAAAGGATACTTTTAAACTTTAAAGTGGTTACTTATTAGTTAGAGTTTAAGGGTTTACTTATACAGTTTAAAGGGATTACTTGTAAAGTTATATGGATTACTTGTAAAGTTTAAATGGGATACTTATAAACTTTAAAGTGGTTATTTATTAATTAGAGTTTAAGGGTTTACTTATAAAGTTTAAAGGGATTTTTTTATAAAGTTTAAGGGATTACTTATTTAGTTTAAAGGGGATACTTATAAACTTTAAAGTTGTTACTTATTAGTTTTAGAGGGATTACTTAATAAATGATGTAGGTGTTACTCTTAAGTTTAATACAGATTACTTATTATGTTATAGGTGTTACTTATAAGTGTTTAAGTGTTAATTATTATTAAGGTTAATTATTATTAAGGCTTATGAAGTTTTATATGTGTTGCTTAATATAAAAATATCAGTTACTTAATTGTTGTTAAAGGATTACTTAAATATATTAAATGGATTACTTAATACCAGTTACTTTATGGATTACTTATTCAGGTTATAGTGATTATTCATGTAGGCCTATTTGTTACTTATCCTATTTTTTATGTGTTAAGAGTTATAGGATTTACTTATAAAGTGTAAAGGGTTTACTTACAGGAATTACTTAAAGAGATTAAAGGTTTACTTTATGTTAATATAGCAATTACTTAATGTTATAATGAGGTTACTTTTTAGCATTAGAAGCATTACTTTATATTTTCATATGGTTCTTAAAAGCATTTGAGTGTATACTTAATAATATGGGTTACTTAATATTATATCATAATAAAGGTATGATATTTAAATATAGAAACATAGTTTATAATAAGGTCTGGAATTTAAATATAGAAACATAAATATCCTATCATAAAGAACTTAAAATAACTTTGGATTTTGTATTGGAGTGATTGTTCCAAATTCTCTTGTATCTCCCTTTGTTGTCATTGCTTTTGTTTTTTTTCTTGTTTCCTTGCTTTCCTTTCTCAAAATGTCCTTTTATTCTCTTGCTTCTTCCCTTGGTGTTTGCTCTTTCTGGATCCATAACAGTAGGAATTTGTTCTTCTGTTTCTGTTGTTGCAGTAGTGTTGTTTTGCTGCATTGATTCTGCTTCTTGACTTGCTGCATCTTGTTCTTCCTGCAATAAAACAATGATTATTTTTGGTGCATTGGTATGTTTAATTAATAGTATTGGCTTACCTTTTCCAATCTGTTTCTTATTTCATCTGCTAGTATATCAAGTTTTTTAAACTCTGACTCTATTAAATTTTTGGTCTATGGGTGTTGTTGGCATTTCAAAATCAAATTGTAGCCTTTTCTTGCCATAATTTGTCTCCATGGAATGTATTTTATGGGAATTCTTTCATTTGCTGATTCTTCATCCCTTCTTCTCTATACATGTGCCTTTGCATATTTTGTCCACCTCATTATGATATATCTGTCTGGTATTTTGGTGACTGAATGCTGTTGTAACACCCGGATACAGTGATAGCATAACCACCCAACTTCTTTAAAATTTTTGCATGAACATGCTATACTATTGTCTGCCATGTTGAATGTAACTTTTTGCTTTGAAGCTTCATTATTCTCTAATTTCACTTCATAAAAGAAGTAACTTTGAGTTTGATAATGAAGATTTGTTACACATCCAATTGAAAATTCAAATTTTGTTTCAAAATATCTGAATATGGTCTGTGTGTAGACCTCTGCTGCATGCTTTATCATTCCATAGAACGGTAAATTTGAAGTTGGTTTAGAATTGGAACATTTGAAATCTGCATCAGATTCATTGTTCCTCCACCTAGTCACTATTTGTTTAAATATCTTGAAAAAATCAGTCAAGCTTGTGTTCTTGTTTGCCTTGAAACCTACAGCATTATTTGCACTTTCACTTCTTTGAGAAGAGAGTATTCTTGCTGAAAAAAGTCTTTACTGAGAGCAGTGCACCATTTTTCTTTCAAGCTGTATAATCTTTTGAACCATCTGTTATTTTCTAGCTTGTAAGTAGTTATCATGTTTGTCTAACAATGCTCAAACTCTTCTTCTGTTACACAACCTGTTAGACACTTATTAAAAGCATCTTTAAAAGTTGTGTCTCTTTTTAGTGCTCCAAATCTTGACACTGCATTCTTAATTAGATGCCATATGCAAAGTCTGTGTCTTGAGTGTGGGAAAACCTGCATTGAATATTTTTTTTTTTTTGAATTTATATGCCTTATGCAAAGTCTGTTATTTTGAGTGTTACTTATTGTTTTTAATAATGTTACTCATTCCATTATAAAGTTAACTTAACAGTTTAATAGGGTTACTTATTGCATAATAAGGATTACTTATTGCCCTATAAAGGATTACTTCTTGATCTATAAAGGTTACTTATTGCATTATACTGATTACTTTTTCATTGTAATAGAGTTACTTATTGCTCTATAAGGTTATTTATTAAATTTAATAAGATTTTATACTGAATACTATGGTGTTACTTATATATTCTGACATATGTGTTACTTATGTTGTATAATAGGGGTTACTTTTGTATTTTAATGTAGTTACTTATTTGCAAAACATATATATTAATAACTAATTAATATTTTGAGGGGGTTTACTTAATAGTATTATATGGATTACTTAATGGTATATAACTAATTACTTAATAGTATATAACTAATTACTTAATAGTATAACATGTTTTAATTAATAGTATTATAATAGCAATTACTGAATAATATGAAAAGTGTTACTTTATATAAAAAACTAGGGAAAATGTAAATTTACCTTTTGAATTGCAATTGACATGGCCAAGTCTTGGTCGGTAAAAATTGAGGCTGGCTCACTTCCACCAACTGATTTCTTAAAAGTAGATAATACCCACTCAAATGTTTCTATTTTCTCATCAGGAATAAATGCACAACCAAACATTACATTTTGCCAACGACTGTTGACACCCACAATTGGCGCACAAATAAGATTATATTTGTTCGTCCTATATGTGGTGTCAAAAATAGTAACATCTCCATAAATATCAAAAACTTCTTTCATTTCTGAGTCCCTCCAAAAAATGGTAGTAAGTCTATTTGTTTTTTCTCCTATCTTGAATCTGAAAAAGAAATATGGTTCCTCTGATTGTCTTTGATTTAATATGTCTATGACAGTTTGTGCATCACCTCCTTCGATCTCCATCATTTTCTTTCTTGTTATGTAATTAAAATGATCTTTCATTGTGTGCGCTAATACATTTTCACCACAAGCTTCATAAGCCATTAAACGATAAGATTCTGCTGGTCTTAGTCCACTTTCAGCCATTATGTCTATAACTTTTGTCTTATCTTCTGTTATTTTTCTCTCTGATCTTTGTAAATGCTGCCATTCTCTTCTTTTCAGTTCATGATTGTGTTGCATGACATGTTCTTCTACTTCAAACATACCTTCTTTATTCTTTTTTGCTCTGATGAATGCTTTGCAACCAGTTCTGGTGATTGAAACTTGCCTTTTCTTCTTCTGTTTTTGTCCAGGAATAGGAGTAGGAGTTTTATGGTTCTTTGGTTTTACTCTAAAACCTTCTTTTGAACAAACAAAATCTTTTCCTCTTACTTTTTAGGTTCTGTTTGTGTGTATCTTGTTGTTGATTGTCTTAAACCAAATCCAATCACAAAAGCATGTTTTTTATATTCTTCAAAAATTTCTTCTAAAGTTGCAGCAGTAAATCCAACAAGGCTCCCTGTATAATCTATTTCATGTTGTTCTGCATATCTGGCATCATCTGTTAAGGTGCTTCCACTTAAATATGTAAAAACAAATTAATTATTGCATTATACGGGTTACCCTTAAAGTGTAACTGTGTTACTTATTGTGCAATATAAATTACTTATTGCGCAATAGGGATTACTAATTGTTTAACAGGAATTAGTTATTGCATTATAGTGATTACTTTTCCACTGTGATAGGGTTACTTATTATATAACAAGGATTATTTTTTTTTGCATTATAGTGATTACTTTTCTAATTTAGAAGGGTTACTTATTTTGTGATATGAGTTACTTATTGTTTTTTAGGGGCTTCACATTGTAATAGGGTTACTTATTGCACTATAGGGGTTACCCTTAAAGTGTAACAGGGTTACTTATTGTGCAATAGGAATTACTTATTACGCAATAGGGATTACTAATTGTTTAATAACAGGGTTTACTTATTGCATTATAGTGATTACTTTTCCACTGTGATAGGTTACTTATTATATAGCATGGATTATTTTTTGCATTATAGTGATTAAATTTCTAATTTAGAAGGGTTACTTATTGAGTGATATGAGTTACTTGTTGCATTATAGGGTTTACTTTCATACTGTAATAAGGTTACTTATTGCGTTATAGGGTTTACCTATTGCATTATAGGGGTTACCTTCACATTGTAATACCTCTCTACTTTAAAAGGGTTACTTATTGTTTTTTAGGGGCTTTACACTATAATAGGGTTACTTATTGCATTATAGTGGTTACCCTTGAAGTGAAACCGGGTTACTTATTGTGTATTAGGAATTACTTATTGCGCAATAGGGATTATTAATTGTTTAACAGGGTTTACTTATTCCGTAATAGTGATTACTTTTCTACTGTGATAGGGTTACTTATTATATAGCAGGTTACTTATTGTGTGATTTGAGTTACTTGTTGCATTATAGGGTTTACTTTCATACTGTAATATGGTTACCTATTGCATTATAGGGTTTACCTCTCTACTTTAAGAGGATTACCAGTATATCATTTTAGGGATTAAAAGTAATAAATTAAAATTTGAGTGAGTTTTTTTTTTACCTTGTATTTCTTCGATCTCCAGATTCAACAATGAATCACCTATTTCTTCTATTTCCATTGATTCTTGTGATTCTGGAAAGTTTTGTAATTCTTCAGTCATTGTAGCTCTCTCTCTTTTTTTTTTTTGCAAATTACGAGAATTTTGTGAAATCGAGAAGTGAAAGCTGCGTTTCTAGGGATTTGTGTGAATGTCGGCGCTTTTAATAAGGAATGAAAAAGGAGCAGCATGTTATTTTGGATTCCGTTATTTTTGGCAAAAAAGGACGCGTGCGTGTAGCTCCGTTATTTTGCTGAGCTGGACGCTGGCCACACCGTGTGGCCAGCTGCACAGAAGAGGCGCTGTATTGGGATCTGATTTGTTGGTAGTTTGATAAGTTTAGGAAATTAGTTATTTGTTTCCTAATTGTGTTTAATTCTAAAGTAAATAAGTAATATTAGCGCTGAACACGACCATTGTGTTAGGTTTGCTAAATCTCCAAGTTTATGAGCTAGTATATATTGTAAATTTTGTAATATATATGCTTCCGCTATAAATAAGGTCAATTAATTAACATATTAATAATTATATTATGATTTAGTTTATATGTTTTTTTAATTATTTAATTTATGTATGAATAAATTTAATTACATTTGATAAAGATTTGTAGGTAAGATTAAGAAATTTGCGTTGCAATAACAGTGAGAATAAGGAAAATAATAATGTGCATTATTGCATTCTGTAAAGGATATTGCCATCATAATCAGCTATGAACTATGGTGATGCTTTGTGTGTTTTTAAATGTTTGTCTTTACTAGCTAGGTACTCAAAATATGTTACTACGTACATGCATGCTAAACAAAAAATTGTTTCCTCCCCTCAAAAAAAAAAAAAAAAAAAAAAAAAAAAACACTTAACAAATAAGAAAACTTATACTCATTGTATAAAACTAGTTTCAAAATAGATAGATTAGTTCCAAGAAATAATCTATCATTATTTCATAATGAATTTATTCGTAATTATAAATTTTAAAATAAAATAATCAAAGATGTACCCTAGGTCGTGCAAAACCAAATTATTGGAGATATATATGAGATACAATTTTTTTTATTGTTATATACATATATTTTTAACCTTATTGTTACATATCGTATCATAAATAACGGTAAATATTTTATTTTCATATCAATATAAAAAATACATCTATGAATCTGAATCAATTTAGAAGGGTAAGAGATAAATTTGTAATCATTTAATCCAAAGATTAGCCCCTCAACCCTAAACTCTTTATTTATTTATTATTATTTTATTTTATTTTAGTATAAAACCAAATTCCTACTAATATCAATTCGATAAATTTAATTGAATAGAAAAAATCAAAACTCAAAAGCATCTCTTGAGATCTAGTCTACCATCATGAGTATGTTGGATTGGTCTACGTTGCCCTCTGATCTTCTCATCACAATTGCACGGCTATTGGAATCCAAGTAAAACCTTTGAAATCAACAAAATAAAGGGTTTAGATTTGAAAATCCCTATATCCTATAGGAGGCAGTGTTTTGGTTCTAAGAATGGATGGATTGTGATGATAGGTTTCGCGATTGGAAAGTTTCGGTATATAATCCCATCAATAAAACTCATCTAAAACTTCCATCCCTTTCATCTTTGCCACAAATACAAAATCATGAAATTATACAAAATGGAACATTGAATTTTTGGGTTCCTATTCAGTTCACAATACACAAGGCAATTGTATTAAAAATTGATGAGAATGACGACGACTTTGTTGTAATGCTGATCTTTAATCAACATTTACGGTCTAATAATAATAACCAATTGGTGTTTTCTCGTCCTTGGATCAAGGAGATGGACCAAGGTTATAACAAGTCGCGAAGGGGTCCCTCCTGATGTTATTGATGCCGTGCATTGCAATAATGGATTAGTGTTGATTTTGCATAATAATGGATTGAATACAAGTTGCGAAATTAGTGCATTGGTTAACTTTAGCTCTTGGTGGTCATATGTTTATGCCAATAAGCCTTATCATTCCATTCTTTTTCCTAGTTTTATCAAGGTTAAGTTGGATTATCAATTTATCATCAAGCATGCTATATGGTCGAGTTGGCCGGTGATTTATTGTTAGAACTACGATACAAAGATATTGATTATACTGCGAGATTCTGTTATTATACTTGTAATTTCGAGGTCTATCAACTTGTTCATAGTTGCAACAAGAAGTGTTGGACCGTTGTTGATAATTTGGGTGATTATATGGTATTTGTTGGTAATAACTCTGCCATGAGTGTTCATAAATCGAAGCTCCCTAATAGTAAGCATAATGCTATTTACTTTAGTGATGATATCGTTTGGAAAGATCTAGAACAAAGCCAGCAAGACATAGGTATGTATGATATGTCATCTAGAATATGCAAACTGTTTTACAAAGTTAACAATAAGAGGTGTTCGGCTTCTAAACCTCTATGGTTTATGCCCAAGTTTTAGGTTAGGTTGCACGTCATGAGAAGTGCCTATGTCTTATTATTATTATTATTATTTTTTTTGGTGCAAATCCTATTGTTATTGTTATTGTTAGCTTTATTTCTTTGTTTATTATTTTATGTTTCTGTTGACCTTATCTCTTTGATTTTCATAGGTTTTATTTAGATTGTTTTTCTAATTTTTGAAGTTTGTTAAATTGATCATTCGAAATCCCATGTATTTCCGTACAAGAAGACTATGAAGCTTAATCTGAGAGTCAAATTATGTACCCTCTCGCGCCTACCCGGGCGGCGTAGTCTAAAACTTATAAACTTACTTTCGCGCCTGATAGGGCAGAGAGGTTCATAACCGGGCAGCAATCAACGATTTCCTTTCACCCTTCTTGCGCCTGGTCAGGCGGCGGTGGCCCTAACCGAGCAGCTAACTTTCGTCCACAACCAGGCTCAAGCGCTCGGTCGGGCGAGCACCACCTTTACCGGGCGGCGTTTCTTTTACCTCTAAAATAAAGAGGTTCTTCTTTCAACCTTTTTACCAAGGTTATCTGCTCCAATTATTTGTTCAAATTAAAAAAGCAACACCTTAACTTAAGTAATTAATTTAGACAACCATGATAACCATGAAATTAGTCTACCATTCTCTAAATTATTGAACAAATTAATTACAAAGAGAAAACGAAGCTTAATCATCGTATCGAGATAGAATGAAAATTATGGGCCTGTTCTCTTCAGAGTTCAGTTCAGTTCTTATCTTAATTTCCTTTTCTCATAAAATATTCAGTTCATCAGTTCAGCTCAGTTCCAATAAGTTCAGTTCAGTTCAGCTTAATTAGTTCAGTCAATCAAAACAGGCCTTATGACAGTATATTAAAATATATACTTACTAATTAGTATCATATCAAACAAGGATATAGAGTAAAGGTTTGTTCTCTCCGGCTTAAGTTCAGTTCCTAATATCATCCTCTCATAAAATATTCAGTTCAGTTCAGTTCAGCTCAGCTCAGTCAATAAGAATAGGCCCTAATAATCTACTTTCTATAACTCGACTACCCAAATAATACTAATATACCAAAATATATAATTCTTAGAGTTGCGAGCAAAAATCAAACATTGCCTGAAATATTTATAGTACGTACTTCCTTTGTTCTTACTCCGTATAATTTAGTTGACATTATTATTCACAAATTTTACTTTGGCTAGAATAGTTATGATCTTTTTTTAAATTGTATCAATTTACATTTTAATTATAACCTCATCAAATAAAGAATGTAGAGTAATCAATAATAAAATTAAACCATATAATTTCGGCAACTCAGCTACCCAAATTTTGATATAAAGTAACAAATTATTAGTACTAAATTTAAGAGCAAACATCAAACATTGCCTAAATTATTTTTTGTACTTCAGGTTAACCTATGAAACCTAGAGCTGTCAAAAACCGACCTGAACTGGTGAATCCGAATAGTTTTAAACTGTTTCGAAAAGGAATCGAACCGATCGACCCGATTTTTTAAAATCTGAAATTAAACCGATCTGAATGTTTGAGAACCGTTAATGAACCGTACCCGATATCAAGCTGAACTGATACAACTCGAAACTGAGAACAACCCGAACCGAGTGCTTTTGAACCCGAGAGCAACCCGACCCATTGTAAATAGAAACCGTTTAAATCCGACAAAAACCCGATAAACCCAAATCGTTTACAACCTGTAACTGGTTAGGATTGAACCGTTTATAATCCCTAATAAGTTATGATCGAACCATTTACAGCCCGTAATCGGTTATAACCGAACCGTTTATAATCAGTAAGTCCGTAACCCGTTATGACTGTAGAATTTTTTTTCTTTTAATTTTTTTGGGTATATTTTATCGATAGTAAAACAAAAGTGTTTAATTTGAATTATAAAGTATTTATATTGAAAAGGTTTGGAATTTTGATGTCATTGAAATTCTTATGCTACAATATTATCGTCCTCTAACGAGTAATGACTTATGGAACACCATATTGTATTAAAAAAAATTAAAAATCTAAATCAAAAGCTAACTCTAGATTTGTTAATATTATTTTATCCTTAAAATCATTATACAAAAAAGGGACATAAAATTAAACAACTAATTAATACTCCGTATGATCAATTGGAATAACTATTTAAAGAATATTGAGGATATACTAGACGATATACGTTAACGAAACCCGTTTAAAACTGGCAAATTAGCTAGTTGTCAAATCAACTAAGCTCAACTCGAACCGATTACCACCCGAACCGATTACAACCCGACCCGATTAGGACCGATATGTGTTGAGCCAAAACCCGCTATAAACTGACAAACCCCATTTTTAAACCGGTCGAATTTAACCCGAACTGATTATGACCCGAACCAATTATAACCCAACCAGATTAGAATCTGACCCGAAAAGAAACTATAATAAAAAATAAACCAAACCGAACCGACCAAAAATTATTTAAAACTGACCCGAACTGACCCGTTAATAATTCCAACCCGTTAAAAACTAACCCGTTACAAAGCGAAAACCGATAAATCGAACCCAAAATTAAACCGAAAACCCGATTGACACCCCATTGAAAAGATCTAGTTCAATAGAGCACTTTCTCGTTCAATTATTCT